TGAGTATTTTCCAACGCATGATCAGGTGTCCATTGCTCCCAATCCGAAACGGCTCCTGGTACCATCGCGTTTACCTAGAAAGTGTCAAAGTAACGCCTGCTAAAAAAACTGAAAAAAGGCTAAATTCAAAGGATTTTGACACTCAAAATATGGTACAGTTATCCTTACTACATGACTCGATTCGAAGAAAGCCTGACGCCGGGAAAAAATGGAAGGAATAAGTAAGGAATAATATGCGCTGAACACTCCTAAACTTGGCGACGTTCTGCCTACGATGTGTGGGGTGTGCATTCGAATTTCTCTTTCGAATGAATATATACACTTCGCGAAAAAACAAAGCAATTCGTTGTAAAATGACTCTAACACAAAACTCTACGAACTTATGTTACAACCCAATACTTCTGCACTTGCCCAACCGCTCCAAACCGTACCGCAGCCTTCGCTCCATAATACTTCATAATACTTTAGATTTTATTGGAATTTTTTTGTTGAAATTTCGATCATATGGCATGGTGATAAAACTTTTAGAACCAAAGACCATGAAAATTTCACGTTTAAAACTACTTTTCTTGAGATTTCATTTTCTCACTATTCTCATCATTGTCATCACTCTCATAAGTAAGATGAAGTTAGTTACGAGTAAGGGAAGGCGCGTAATTAAGATGAGGTTAGTCATTAATGAGGTCAGTTCGCACCTCGGCGCGAAGTAATGTCAGTCGAGACTAACGTCCCACACCCGAGTGAACACACCTGCTCAGCATCGTGCTCCGCATTTAAAATTGCACCTCAATATGTATACCCAGGTGCAAGATATAAAGAACAAAAACTCACTGGAGCAACACCCAATCGATCTTGAGCTATCTGCATTGCTTTTTGAGTATTTTCCAACGCATGATCAGGTGTCCATTGCTCCCAATCCGAAACGGCTCCTGGTACCATCGCGTTTACCTAGAAAGTGTCAAAGTAACACCTGCTAAAAAAACTGAAAAAAGGCTAAATTCAAAGGATTTTGAAACTTAAAATATGGTACAGTAATCCTTACTACATGGCTCGATTCGAAGAAAGCCTGACGCCGGAAAAAAATGGAAGGAATAAGTATGGAATAATATGCGCTGAACACTCCTAAACTTGGCGACGTTCTGCCTACGATGTGTGGGGTGTGCATTCGAATTTATTTGTTCTACTTATTTATTTACACTCATAAAAGTGAGCCCGGATGAGGTAAAAGAGAAACAAACAAGGCACAAACAAGGCATACAATGAACTAGTGCCGCGCACATAAAATCACGGCGGCAAGCACCAGGCTGTGAGAAAAAAAAAAACAAAAATTAGAGGTAATTAATTAAAGGTAGCTTTTCAAAAAATCAACTCTTTTTAAAAACGTTCTAGATTAAGGAAAATATGATTAGAGGCTGACGAAGGAGCGTGATCACATCATCAAAGTGGGCAGGGTTTAACTTTAGATGAGCGTGGCTCAGAACAAAAACCTGAAACTTTGTTCAAAAACATTTTTAATCCGAAAAGAGTGGTATCAAAGAAAAAGTGATCAAATTTTGAATGGGTAAATACACTCAACGCTGTTCAAAAACGTATTAGAGGGTGGAAAAAAAGTGGTTATGAATAATCGAAAGAATTTTGCCCATATCTGAAGTAAAGACAGAGTAGGGGCATGCATAAAGATGGATGGGGCCAACACTAGACATCTAGAATCCTATTTAAAAGAGATTAGAGGTTGGAAAAGGGAAGATGGTGAACTGAAACTTTGCCCAAAAACGTTTTAGAATCATAACCGTCACTTGCAAAATATGAAGTCATCGTCAAATTTACGATATGTAAAAGTTCGCGCCTGTGTTTCTAGTTGTCACCGGGTCCTACATTACCTACAGAAGGATCTGAAGAGTTCCGCAAAGCTTGGTTTGGGTGTAGCACAGGACGAGAGAGATCATGTGGACTCAGCAGAGGTGAGAAATGGGTCAACAAATGAAACGTAGGAGACCCACCAACGGAGAGGATTCCTTCACGGTGTACTGTACTTTTCACATAACTGCGTAACTCGTTCTCATAATAGTCCACTAGCATATAACCCAGATTTTCAAAAGGAGGGTGGAGCTCAAACATTTTAAGTTGTCTCTAATCGATACGTTTTTAGTGAGAACACACGCCAGTGTGCATACCCCAATGGCGCGTCCACACTCAGTAAGAAAAAAAGACGATCGTAAATAGGATCCGCAGCTGTCATGNTCAGCCAACAACAAACAATATATTGTGAAAATAGTCTAAAATGGTTATGAAAATCAGTCGTGCTGAACACTCACGATTTCGTGTTTATTCTTTAACACAAAAACGTGCTCGCGGGCCAATACCCACAGAACAAAGGATATAAGTTCAACGTCTGCCGACTCCAAAATGACTAACCAGAGCTCCAACAGCAATGCCGTCATTCCAGTCAGAGGTGAAATTTGTGAGTGGCATCCCGACGGGAAGCTTGCTACGAATCCAGTTCAGCAGTTTTTGTTTAGGTGTTTCTTCCGGCTGACCATCATTTTTCTCCTGAATAGAGGACATAGAGGTTAGCAATGAACGAAAACTACAGGGTCACATCTCATCACCTCTGACTTCAAAAACGAAAAACAGAAATGAAGCATAATAACTGACACTGATACAACTTCGGTTGTTTCCGGATGTATGCTGCCCCTACATTGACCAACTTTCTAAACAAACATCCATTCCGCTTAAGACAAACGGCTGGACCTATAGGAATTCCTGGGGATTGTATGTGAACCTCTTATATCAAAGGACCCGGATAGATTAATGTTTCTAAGCCCGGGAAATTCAATCCCAAAGTATTCATGCTTGGCGGACAATAATAATAAAGTTTAACTAACAAAGTCCTTCCTAAAATAAATTGCAAAGTAATGCGCAATGAAAGATAGTGCTCCAGCGCTCGGAGTGCATCTTCAGATGATAGTTAAGTGGGACTGATAAAAATGCGTCGAATTGCATCATAATAAAACCAATTACAGTTCGAATTAAAGCTTAGGATAGGAGGAAGCAAAAAGGAAAAGCTCACCTGAACCCACCCCATGGAAATGGAGTAGTGCAGAATTAAAGTCCATATCAGTCCAAGAATCAGCTTCTTGTTTTGGTCCACGATATGTGAACTGTCTGGAACATTATGCGTAAAATAGGAATTTAAATCGAAGAATACCGAAAACTTGCTGTCGAATTACATTAAAACGTACCTATGTTTACAATTTTAATATGCTCAACATCTTGGAAGAACTTAAGAGCAAGAGACACGTTTTCAAGTTTTTGTGAACGAAAGTTTACCTAAACTTGATCAACATTAATCCTAATTATTATTCAGGCATTTTAATTAAAATTGGCAAAAATCTGTGCACCTTTTTGTTGAATCGGCCGACGTTTTTCTGCGAAAGCACCGTGGCGAGACTTATGAGCTTCAGGCCATCAGAAAAGTCCGTTTCCTGAGTAGATACGTCAGAAGACATACATTGATGAGTAGAAAAAAGTAAAAATAGGCAATAGAAAAGTACGCAATAGTAACACGATACTCCGTTCATGAAATGCACCAGAAACAACAGGTGTTACACTACTTGAAATTCTTTCATTCACTGGAGTAGAAATCTTACTAGGCGACAATGGTAGTGTGAGGAAAACAAAAGGGATCGAAATTGAAAAGAGATTTCTAAGTCGGGAGAAAACCTTGCAATAAATAAAGAGCAATTTACCAGGCTATGGATGGAATCTCCAGCCTTCTTGAGGTGATTGTTCACCCATCGAGTGAATGTGTTCTGTTGTATTATCTTCCACTCAGCATCGTCAAGCCTTATTGGTGGAATAACCTGAAATAAGATCAAATTGGAACATTCTCCAAGAAAAAGAAAAGAGAAGGGGTATGAACACCAACGAAAAGCAGGCTCCAAAAACAAGAAGAAACTCTAAGAGTCGTGAGCGCAATTCTCACGTGTCTACATACCTCCTGCTCTTGGTCGTGATCACGAGTTTTTCCGTGATGATACGGATCACCCATCTACTACGATTCGCCCTCTTCCTTGTATCTACACCTATAAATCGAGGAATTGCTGTTAGCGCTTAGAACCATTGAAGGCAAAGTTCGAGCGACATATAAGACGAAGCACAGAGAGAAGATACTTCGCAAAGAGAAAGTACCCTCTTACTACTACATCTTCAAAAACGACTTTATGAACAGCAGTAGAGGGTCAGTAGATGACACGAACTTGCCCTGGGATGGCCTGACTAGCTACTTAGGGTATTCCCAACCTTCACGTAAAGCTTGGCAAGCTGCTTGTTAGTAGCATTGTCAAAAATAGTCTAAAAAATCAAAATGTGCTGTGAATCGAATCAAAATTAAAATGCTTAATCATTCTCCGAACCTGGGTTTGCCCCCAATAAGGTAGCATTGAGAAAGATGGATCGGGAGAGGCCTGGTAAACCTCGCGGATATTACAGACTGCTTAAAGGGAGAAGGACTAATTGTAAGATGGTATCTGTATGTGCAGTGCACGAACGCATCCGTTGGAAGTATGTATAGAAGATCTGGTGGTACGAAGAAAGAAGATCAAGCATGACGCCATCGGGGACGAGAATCGCCTGCCGGCGCGGTTTTCGAGACTCAAGAAGAACTGTTCCTTGGAACATGCGACAGCAGGGGAGTCGGCAGTGTAGGTATGCTCATCAGCACGTGATTGGCCATGATTACTGGTTCGTACGAAAGTTTGACAACCTGAACCAGACGTCTGTGATTGAGAAGATGTGGCCCGACTCAGCTCTAACACCCTGCCCTACGCACCACATCAAGCTGCGAAGGTGAGCGTTTCCTACGGACCTGGAAATGGAAAAGCTCTACAGAAAAGACAACACTTTCTTCATGGTAATCGCAGGTGATTTCAACGTCAATGGGGGACCCAGGAAAACGGCTGTAAAGCTTCATGTTGTGCTCACGGAACTGAAGGGAATGAGCAGGGTGAAAGGTTGGCTGTTGAGTTTATCATATCAACCCACATCAACCATGGCAAATTGCGGCTGCTTTGGCCTTCTCATTTCCTGTGGACTTGGACCCTAAATAGAAAGCTGTGCCTGATTGGCTTCGCTTCTGTTCCACAGCTCTAAACGGGGCCGGAACGCTGCCTCTTGTGTTCTGTTTTGATTCAGATTTCAGATTTTTACAGGATTTGTTAAGGTGGATAGGGAGAGTTTGGGACTGGAAGTCCGAAGACCGTGATCAATTGGGACCACTTCGATTTCCTTGCAAGCTTATGGGAAGATACCCTTTTGAGGAATATAGCCGGCTTGTCGAACACCTGACGGTCTGAGGAAGCTGCGAGTTTACAAGTTACCAAGAGGCGTCTCTTTTCGAAAACTCTCGAGCAGATATTCCAGCGTGGAATCGAGCGAGGTACAAGCAATCATCAACTAAGGTCTGAACATGCCAAGATATGCAGATAAGCGATAAAGCAAGATCTGAAAGAGAGAAAAGCAGAATTTTGGTCTAAGCCGCAGAGACTGGGAAGGGCACTCGCTACCGAGATTCACTAGTTACAAAACCATAACGACCTTCCTTCCGCTTCCTGACGGAACAGTTACTGCATCTCAGTGGACATCTCTTTGACAGCTACGTCTACCTGATTACCTACCACCTTAGACAAGGCGGATATGTAGTTTCTTTGATTATCCCTTCCGGAATTCGACATGCAATCAAGTCAATAAAGAGTTGCACTACGCTCGGTCACAGTAAAGTCAAACCAAAACATCTGAGCCTTACACCAAATATTACCGAACTGTAGCTTAGCTCTTCAAGCGGTATCTTTCGGAATGCGTTGCGGAAAGCCAGCAAGCTGTGTTGCTGTATAAGAATATAGATCCAGACGACATTGGCAACTAGCGACCAATCTGCCTGTTGTCTGGAATATAGTTTTCACACGCATCGTCCTCGAGAATTGGCAGAATACTAAATGAACGACAGCCATGCGAGCAAGCAGCATCTCTGAGAGAATTCAACACAATCGATCTCACCCTCACAGTCACAAGACTAATTGATGTATCGTGGTAATACAGAATGCTGCTATATCTCAGATTCATCAACTTCGAGCAGGCTTTTGACATAGTCGGAACAGAAGCGATCACTGAAGCCGAGGACAGCCAGGGTGCTCCTACTCAAGACATATAAGGATGCTTCGGAGCTTTACGAACTTCACGGCCAGAAGTTCGCTCAACTTTACAGAGATGTTTCCGAAAACATCATGGATCATTTGAAGTGGAGAGACACGGGGCTACTTACATCTTCCCGCTTTGCAGGCAGCATCGTGCTCATAACAGAGGAACCGGACAATGATCGAGGAGACGGAAGGATTTCTGACAGAACTCGACAACGCTTGTAAGAAAATCCGCTTGCAGCTGGACCTAACCAAAACTATGAATATTAGAAACGGTGTGGCACTTGATGCTTCTCCTACGCTGAACAGATAAACGCCTCTAATGCTCTAGCTACGTGTATCTCAGTCAAGAGTCGACATAATGAACGGTCTAACCACACAGCTGAGCTGAAAAAACGTGCCGGGAGCATTTAAGAACATCGAGGTAGTGGTAAAGAAGACAAAGAACATCCGACTCCGCACACATCTTTTTGATCCTGCGGTCCTTTCTGCTTTGACATACGCCTCAAAGAATTGGACTCTGCGGAAACAAGACGAGCATGCACTCAGCGCCTTTCAACGCAGGGGTGATGCTGGGAATTTTCGTGACATGCAAGTGCACAGGGAAATCCAGAAATCTGAGCTCCGTCAACGAACGAGCATCAGGTATGCCGTCGCTTATGCTAAGAAATCAAAGGTAAGATAGGCTGGACACACATGGAATATGGTGATGACCTCTGAACCAGAGAGGCCGAGGTTCCACAGCACAGCGTCCACATTTTTTTTCACGAAAGCCCTAAACAAAGGAATGTTGTGTGTTCCTCGAGCGATCGACGATCCACAGGACGACTTTGGTTCGCGACAGGGGCGAATAAAGACGTTACAGGCGCCCGCTCGAAGGAGTCAATGAATGGCGGGATAATAGGTGATACAGGTGATTACGGAGACAAGGGAGTTTTTAGGGAGCTTCACTGATGAAATCGACATAATTCGGTTCAGAAATTGTAGAGGAAAAGGGAGAAAATTGATAAATATGGTGAATGGCGAGCAAGTATGCCTGAAAGGAGGAAGGATCTGAAGTTTCGTAAAGAAATAGTAGGTGCAGACTTCATTTCTGAGGTGAATGAGCCGAGATAGGAATAGGGTCGAATGAGTCCTCAAGGGCCGTAGTTTCTGGCATGCTAGAGCTGTGCTATGGTACAGTTGAGTGAAGTTGTGAAACCACAACAGTTGGTGAAAGAGGGACACCTGGTGTAAGGATGATCCTTCGGGTACTCTGAGTTGCCCTTCTCGAAAGTCCATCGCTTGATAGACGCAGTAACGTACTACGAACCGGCTGATTCTATGAACTAGTGTCGATATAACGTTACTCAATGCCACTTTTTACAACACCCTGTACTCTTCAACAGTTACCAACTCCCTTCAAACCTCTTCGCCTCTACTTGCGCTAAAGATATGTAACCACGGAAAGCAGCAGAACTCAAATGCAAAACTGAAGTTTACGATCTTCTCAAAACACACCAAAGTATGTGAAAGCAGGGTATTTAGATTTGGCAGAAGACCGACCGTGATATCGGCCAAGGTATGAGACACTTATGATGTTCATATGGAGTTTATAAAATCAAGTGGCGCTCATTTCCGTAGACTGAGAATAAGAAATACAATCGAGACAGACAACATTAAAGTCATAACTTATCGAAAAAACTCTATTGAGTGAAAGCCTTCCTTGAAGTCTGCATTGAAGGTAATAGTATAGGCTCTCTAAAAAACCCTGTAACTGCTATAAACTAGATGCAGCTGATTCCTCAAGTCGCATTCATAGAACTCACAAATGAAACTGGCTTGATATTCAGTGGATATACGGCATAAGAGGATCATTATGAGTACGGTCATTTGGACCGGTAAGGTCAGCGACCTCCCGCACTTCAGCTTGTGCTTCGCTTGCTCATTACAGCAACTGTTTTTGTGTTGTGAAAAAAACTTTAAGGAAAATGTGGCTAATTAGCTTTCGAGTGATGTTTGACCTTCGGTATTATCATTCATAGATGGCAGGTGAAGAACAGAAGCATTTCCCAGTATACAGTCTGAGCAAAGTAGTCGTAATAAAGAAAAGCACCAATCTGAGATTGTTGCATGAAAGGAAACAAGTTCAAATAGGAGAGTGACAACAACTCCCACTGACAATTGCTACTTACTAACCAGTTGCAACGGAAAGTGCCCCTTTGTTTTATGCCCATTTTATGTGCACAAGGTTCTCACCGAGGAGGTCGCTTTGACCAATCTAGCTGCACCATCATGGACAACAACGAGAACAGCCCATTAGCGAGAGTAATCAAACTAGTTGAACTCCTGACGGGGTTGGTGCGTAAACTTTATTAGACTGGCAATTCGGCAGAATCGCCTTCTTCAGAGTCGTGGAAGACCAATACATTCTGTAACTATCTAACCGAACCTCTGCAGCTGATGTCAGAACGTAACAGAGCACTCATGTAGTTAAAAGGAGCCTCTCATATCAACAAATTGTTTTGAGCCAATCAGGCTCTGAAGGAGGCGATACTGCCGGAACAGTAATTTAACAGTTCTATTTCGAAGATTTCACGTCGAGGTTCACTGAGAATCGGACGTGGAGAAATAAATGGGACCTCAAAGTTCTTACAACTTGTGTTACACGAGCGCGTACGGTGAGACATAGTATTAGCTCGAATGTCTCATTGAACGGAAACCCATCCTTGAGCTATGCACCCATTAGCTCCACTCCACCATAGCCCTTTTATCATTGGGTCGTATAATGGACTATCCCGGTGGTCTAGCTGCGGCTTTTCCCCTTTACAGAGGGTGATAACTGTATGGAAAATGTTCAGACTGTGATATCTAGCTT